AAATTATAGAATTTCATATTTCTTTAACAAATAATTTTTTTATCATTCTTTTAAACAAATTAATTGCGCCAGCATTTTTACAATCACTATTCCATAATCCTATTCCTTGGACTGACGTACATCTGTCCTTTAAATTTATTAGAATTTTAGGTTTTACAAACATTTCTAATCCCTTCAGATTGTAACCAGTTTCCCTCTTAACAACATGTGATTGGATGTTCAAAGGTAATATATTTTTATGAGCCTTATACATGACCTGCGAAATATTATAATCAACCAACTTGTAAAAACTTCAATAATTTCAACTGATAAAATAATGTATTTGATGGGTGACAATAGTGTTTTCTAGTGATAATTCTTATAGCTCTCTTCTGCAAAAATAAAAATAGGATTTGTAATTGTTTTACATGCTTTCCCCCAGACTTCAATACAATAAATCAAGTGTGGAACAATTATTGCGTTATATAGAATAAACAGTGCTTTATCATTAATTAACTCATTTACTTCAGGGCTGTGTATTGACAAGAATTTGGCGATACGATACATATCATAACAGAGGACTCACGACACGATATATCCCAATAAATTGCGATACTGTAAGCAAGGCAATATATTGCGAATTTTTTGTCCAAAAATTCCTTTAAATAAAAACCTCTTACTGAAAAAAAAAAAAAGAAAAGCTAATGTTTACTTACAATGCTAATGCTACCCTTACTCTCTGGCGCTCAAGAAGTAGAGGACCCAATTGGCCTACTCACTGCTGCCAACTAGTGGTCAGAGGCTGAACTACAACACAAAAATGAACGGCTGGCAGGAATGTTGACATTTTAAACCTTAATTAAAAATCGATACAGGGCTTTAGAATATCGATACAGTATCGGAAAATGAAATATCGCGATATTTCAGTGTATCGATATTTTCTTACACCCCTACTTTGTACAATACTGCAATGGATTTGACTTTTTTTTCTTTTTTTTTAGTTCTGTCTGTGGTAGAGAATGCCGCTCGTCCCCAAACTAATGTTTTGCCGTCCACAGGTGGACGTAGACTTGGCCAAAAGATGCGCCGACCTGCCGGAGGACGACGAAGAGTTGAGGAAAAAGCTTTGGCTGAAGATCGCCAGGCACGTGGTGCAGGAGGAGAAGGATGTGAAGAAAGCCATGAACTGCCTGTCGAGCTGCAACCTGCTCAAGATCGAAGACATCCTGCCCTTCTTTCCAGACTTTGTCACCATTGACCACTTTAAGGTCTGGAGCCTGATAAATAAAAATAAGAATAATGCACTGTAATAATTAATTCAAGTGTAAATTTTAGTAATTTTTTTTCTATTAATTTCTTTCGTGCACAATCAGGAGGCCATCTGTGGCTCCCTGGAGGAGTACAACAAGCACATTGACGATCTGAAGCAGGAAATGGAGGAGGCCACAGAGAGCGCTAAACGAATCAGAGAAGACATCCAGGAAATGAGGAACAAGTACGGTGTTGTGGATTCCCAAGAAAAGTGCGCCGCTTGTGACTTCCCATTGCTCAACAGGCCCTTTTATTTGTTTCTGTGTGGACACATGTTTCACTACGATTGCCTGTTCCAGGTAAATAAGACATCCAAAATGATAATTTTTTTTGTCAAAACATATTTAGATCTGTTGTAGGGCTGYGCGGTAGATGGTAGAAACAGTATGAATTTGGCCTACGGTAGAAATTTATACTCTACTGTCCTATCGTCATTACGTCATCGCACCTGTGTGAACAGGGCTGCGAGTGCAGAGACAACTGAGCAGGAGTTTGAAATATAATGAAGAAATTCTAGCGTTTTAAAACACGTATAGAGAGGATAAATCCTCAAAATTTCCTCCTCCTGCTGTAGAAAAGTTACAGTACGTCGTATCACGGGATCATTTCCTCCTCCCTCTCTCCTCTCCTCTCCTCTCCTCTCCCTGCACGTTGTGCAGAGCGAAGCATAAACAACTGTAGTTTTTCACACTCTATTGTCGGAGAAAAAAAACCTTGTTTTTTATGTATTGTTACCCACAGAGATTATTAAAACAAAGACGTGGATGTTCGTTCAGTCGTAAATCCATCTCGCTAATGTAAAGTCAGCTTCAGCTCTGATGATGATGAAGATGAGCGCAGCAGAGCAGCAGCTGATAAGTTCAGCAGGCAGATATTAAAGCAAAAACGTTGGGTTTAATTAAGATTAGTTTTCTGCAAAAAAAAAAGCTCTAAAAATTACATTATCTTTACTGTTTATGATAATTCTCTACCGCGATATATACCGTTACCTTGAAGGGGTTCAATTTATACCGTGATATGAATTTGAGGTCATACCTCCCAGCCCTAGTTATATTTTTGATTTATATTTTCTTTTAACTAAAAGTTATCATTTTATAAATCAAAGTTACATAATGAAATGAATGACTATCTTCTTGCATTATAATTAAGAAAAAAAGAACACAAAAATAA